AAATCATAGGGAATATTTTTTCCTAAGAAATATGCATCAGTTGCAGAAAGGTATATGAGAAAGAGACAGAGTAAAGAGATAGAGATGTGCGAGAGATAGAACTTTAGAATTGGAAATAGAATCGCACTCTATTTTAAATATTGGTCTGGAAATAAAATTTCAGGATCAATTATGATCGTTGAATCAATAATTATCAAAACGATTTGAACCATTTTTTATGTTGGTATTACGTTATTCGTTAAATGTATTTATGTTTTATCTCAAAATGATCTGGACCACTCTTTGTATTTTGTATTCAAACTTCGTTCTATTTTATTATATATATTAGTCATTGTCCGTGTCTGAAGGCATTATGTTACTTATAAAATTTCAACACACAAATATAGGATGTTTGAATAATTTCAACACATAGCAATTAGATTGGTTTTGGACATTTTTTGTTAGTGCAATTGGTATCTTATTTTTTTTGTATTGGTCAGTTATTTTTTTTTAATTGCTGATTAACTTGGGCTTTGTATTTTTTTTTAATTTTCTAAGAACTATAGGTTTTCATACAGTAGTGATTTATTTTTTGTATGAATAATAACTTAATAATTTTATTTATAGATTATAAAGACAATTTAAACTTCATTGATTGATAAGAAGTAAGAAATAAATATCAATCATCGATGCTAAGATGCGTGATACGAAAATCTACTTACAGTGTATTCTAGGTATGAATCAGTTTGTAATAAGATGGATGAAAAATTATATAATAAGTATATAATGATTTTTAATAAAATATTATACTAAAGGTTTTAAAAAAATCGATATACTAAATAACTTACATGTCTAAAAATGGTTACATTATCCATTTGAGTACTGATTTTTTTGTTATAGTGACGGTGTGTATACGGTTATTGATGTCAAATGTTAAACTGTCAAACATTGAAAAAAAAATACTAAACTTAGAGATATTATGTATTTTATGTGTGTTTAATAGAAATATTTTTAATTTTATGCAAAATTTTATCGTAAAATTAGAAATTAAACAAAACCAACATAAATTAAGGTACAAACAATACACTTTTAACATATAACATTTAACAACAATTAGTTAATGACAATACATCCACAACTAAACCACACGAACATTAAAAATTAAAAACAATAAACTACTGTTAAAACATACACCACTAAATCAAACCAAAAAAATCATCAACGATAAACAATAATGGGTACCAGTGAGAGTACTTTCGAAGATTAGATCACTGTCAATACAATTTGGATGGAAGAGAGTGGATGGTCAGAGTGGGTAAGTTCAGTGAATCTTCGGATTATATCATGCGTCGTTGAAGAAGGTTTGTCTATTGTTGGAGTCTGCACAGAGAGATGAGAGACTGAGGAGGATGACAACGATATCTAAAAAACTAAGAGACGTGAGACGATTAATGAGGGAAAGAGAAACAGTTTGGGCTGTGTGTTAGACAAAATGAGTAGCATGTGGGTGTAGTTAAATTGGGTGGGATTCAGGGGTAGAACCACCCTTGGACCAGGGTGGGCACGTGACCCCCTCATTTTTATTTTTTTTGACATTAGATATATATTTTTTAAAATAAAATTTACATCTATTTAATTGTGACCACCCTCAATTTTTTTTACAATAAATATATATTTTTTAAAATAAAATTTAAACATATTTAATTGTGTCTACCTTATTATTATATTATTGTGATATATATTAAGATAGACGATTACTTAAATAATAATTAATTTTTAAATAATGTTATTGTAACTAATACATTATGATATTAAATCTAATAGTGAGTCCCTACATTTAATAACGTCTATTATTCATCCGATGGTCACAAACCATTGGGTTCATACCAATTAATTTTGAATTTTTTTTTTGGTCAAGATATAAAATTAAATTTCGAATTAGATGCAATTACTACTATTCTAAAATTTTTAGACACAAAAATGTCTGAATAATTTTTAGACATACCGTGTTCATTTTTCTAAATTATAGGATTATTTTATTATTGTATACAAAAGAGTGTCATAATGTAATAAATTACAGGGTAATAAATGAAAGTCTGTTAGTACCATTTTGTATATAGAAAAAAGGTATTTATTGATATCATTGATTTATAATTCTTTTAAATGATAAACAATAATCAGATTTAATTGTGAAATGATAATAATTAGTCTCATACGAAGTTTTAATTAATTTTATTTTATTTTTGTTTGTTCATTCCATGCAAATCGTTTTTTAACCTTTTGTGTTTAATGAATTTTTACGCATAATTATAGTAAATATGAATTTATGAACTTCTATGGTCAATTGAAAAAAAAATGAAAAATGTTATTTAGATCTAATTTGATGACATAATTCAATACACCCCTTTGATTGAAATTAGACTTCATCTAACATTTAAATTTATAACTAAAATAACAGATACATTGAATTAAGTCATTGGTAACATTGATAAAAAAAAAAAATTAAAATTTATTAATGTGTCCACCCTAAAGTATTTTTCTGGCTCCGCCCCTAGTGGGATTTTATTTTTGTGTGGGATGTGTTGTGAGACATTGAATTAAGTTTGATAATTTTAGATGAAATTTATATCATTTAATTTAAAATGAATTCAATTTGAGTTGTTATTATGTTTTTTCAAATTTAAGATAGAGACGTATAAGATATAGGAGTGTAGAGTCTTACGATAAGAGGTTTTTCATAGGCGGAAAAAGAAATTCAGGACTAACTATAGACTGTTATATCAAAATTTTTGAGATGATCTGAACCGTCTTTTATGTTAGGATTACGTTGTGCGTTGAATGTGCTTATATTTTATCTCAAAACAATCTGGACCTCTCTTTGTCTTTTAAATTCAAAATCTGGTCTACTTTATTACATATATATATATACCAAAAAAAAAAAGGAAAATCTTGCCATAAACTGCCCATTACCCATTACTCCAAGGCTTACAGTGAAGTTGAGTTATCACAGGAAAAACACAGATCTGAAGCAACGCTCAAAAAATACAACAATCCAAGCCTTGAAGCCAACCCACAATGGAAATTCATAATTAAAGCCAACCCATAACAAGATGACACTTTGAATCTATTTAGGAAAGTTTCTGAGATGAGCCCTTGAAGCCTTTAAGTCGCCGGATCCCATACAAATAGACCAAATATGTTTGGATCTAACACAAATATATCAGATTTATAAAGTGCAGTCGTCGGAGGTGTCCTCCAGTCGGAGAAGATGACAAACTAAAGTGCAGTCATCGGAGGTGTTCTCTCGTCGTCTGAGTTGGAGCCGAAGTGGAGACATAATCGAATGGGAACAGTGAGGCTTAGAGGAGAGAGAAAATGTCGACCCCATTTTTAAGTGCACAGTAGAGTTGTCCTCCGTGTTTTCACCGTTTCACAAAAGGAAGCCACAAAACATGTATTTCATGTTTCCAAAAACACCCCCTTTTATGTCTTCAATTTTCTAAGATTGGAGAAAAAAAATTGTAAATTGCATCTCGAAAGATCGTTTGAATTTTAATTTGTACCTTCAAAGATAAAAAATTTTAATTTATACCCTCAAAGATAGAAATTTATATTAATGTGAGATAAAAAATCTTAATTTGTACTCTCAAAGATAGAAATTTGTATTAATATACACCTCCAAAGATTAAAAATCTCAATTTGTACCCTCAAAAATAAAAATTTGTATTAATGTGCACCTAAAACTAACCGCCATCAGTTTGTTGCCTAAAATTAAATTGATAAATTATACCTAAATCTCCTTATACTTGTCATTTAATTATTTGGACTTCTTCACATTTACAAACATCTTATGATGTTTGTGCACGTGTAACACGTAATCCTTTTTTATTGATATCTATTAATATAATCGTTAAAAAATATAATTTTATCATAATAAAAAATTTTAATTTCATATTACCCTTTATTTTGTGGGTCCGATATATACTCTAAAGTTCACAATCAAACTTATCATTTAAATGTCCAATAGAATGTAGGTATTTATATAATATTTTTTGTATCCAATGCAATATATCATTTAAACATAATTATTTGAATGTCCAATTGGGGGGACATTTTAGATTGAAAATATTTTTATTAGAATTTTATAACCGTTAAAAAATATGATTTTATCCTAATAAAAAATTATAATTTCATATTACCCTTTATTTTGTGAAGGAGTCCAATTGATTAAGTTACAAACATAAGGAAATCTAGGTATAATTTATCAATTTAGTTTTAGGCAGCAGATTGATGGCAGTTAGTTTTAGGTGCACATTGATACAAATTTTTATCTTTGAGGATGCAAATTAAGATTTTTAATCTTTGGGGGTACACATTGATACAAATTTTTATCTTTGAGGGTACAAATTGATATTTTTGATCTTTCAGGGTGCACAATGATACAAATTTTTATCTTTAAGGGTACAAATTGAGATTTTTGGGAGTAAAAATTGAGATTTTAATGATCTTTTAGGGTACAATTTACAATTAATCCAAAAAAATTTCAAAAACCAAACAGAGAGTTTGCCATTTTTTCATTTGACAGAACAAAAAAACAGTTTTGAAAAACTAACCAAACAGACCCTAAGTATTTGGGTGCAAGTCCTATATATTATTGAAGGGTAAAAGTGTCATTTATGAAAGAATATTGATTGATAGCATTATTTGTTGGATGTGTCAGTAACGTCTCTGGTAGTAAGTGAAATGGACACATAAAATACAGGAGGTGAAAGTGATATTTCAAAAATTAAAGGGGCATTCTTGTAAATACAGGAGGTGACAAGTAATTTACCATTAAAGATCAAAAAGGATCCAAATCAAAACGACTACATCACCAAATGTTCTACTCAATTCAAGTAGTGCATAAGAAGCTCAAGTACAAAGAGTACAATATGAAAATCGCCAGAGAAAAAAAAAAAAAAAAAGAGCATGGATTAGTGGATAATAAAGTTTATTTAACCAAAAAGGTTATTTGAGTTTTGTCACATTGTAGCCGGATTAGAGGAGAGCCAAAGAATTAGAGCACAAAGAATCAAAACAAGTGGTATAAGGTGAATAACATTCTGTCCTAATGACTTATGATTGGAAGAGATTTCCTTCTTGGTGGCATCAGAAATGGGATCATAGGTGGGCAAGTCATCGGAAACCGGAGGTTTTGGTGATGGAGAACCGTTTGTACCCGGCAACAAGTTGACAAGGAACTCGTCAGAAAATCGGGCTGTGGTGCTCGATGATCTATACATCTCTTCTCAGTGAGAAACAACAGAAGAAAGAGGGAGAATTGTTGAGAGACTGTAGATGGCAATGGGTGTAGAGCAGTGTCACATGGTTTTATAGAGTAGCAAATGGGCTGAAAATCTGAACCAAAGAGAAGCAAACCCTTTTGGGTTCATTATTCAGAGAGAGAGAGGGAGAGAGAGGTGCATCTGGATTTGGATTCGTGGAGGTGTTTGACTTAGAAGCAGCTTCGAACGTAATTGAAGGCATGCATGTGATGGATGCGTTTACTATAAGGCTTGCATACATTATTCTAAGCATAGAAGCAACCCCAAACACCCTAGAATCATAGAGATAACCTCATACTATGTTATTGTTAACACGGAGGCACAAACCTACTTGAGAACTAGGGCTGTCCATGGTCTGGGGCAGCCCATGTTGCACGCAACCTGGCCTAAAATTGGCACTCGGACTAGCCCGTCCCGAACTATGCCCGAGCCATGTCATTGTTAGTGGCGCAACCCGGATATCCGGCCCATCAATCCTGCCCAAATGTGTTGCTGAAGTGTTTATTTTTATGTAGGCCGTCAACGGATCGAGTGTGAACCGAATTGTTCTATATCTGAATCTAAATCCGATTAAATTTTTACTAATCCAACCTGATCTAATTATATAACGAATTTAAAAAATTTAATTCATATTCAAATTCATTAATTTTCAAATACCCAATTTGATCCAATTATAACAAAAGGCACATGTCCATAAAAAAATTAACAATAAAAATTTGGATAATGAACTAAGAAAAGGAGGAAAAATAAAAAATTGAAGTGAAAGCAAGAGGGAAAACCAGACAAGAGAGGGAAATAAAATGAAAATGGAAAAAGTTGGTCATACATTATGATATTCACTCCATTTTTACTTGTTTTTCAATATAAGTATAATATATGTGTGATATTTATTTATATAATAAATTTTTTTATTCAGATCGGATTATTATAAATTTATGTCTGAATTCATTTAGACAACTCTAATGGAATTCGGGTCGAGCCGGAGTAATGGATTGAAAATCTTATCTATGTCCATTTAAACGGATTCAAATTCAGATTTGGATTAAAATCCGATCCATTGACAAGTCTACTTCTATACAAGCATGTAGGCTAATTGCTGAAGATGTAATTCAGTATTTTAACGATTGTCAACTTTGAATGATGTTGATTTTTTTTCACCGATATCGGGTTTTAGTGTCAATCCCGTGGCACAAATCAATTGATGTATTGCATTACACAGTCCCAATTCACTTGCATCTTTTAAAACTTGGTTTAGCCTATTTGCTAGTGTACGAATAGGTGTTTATTGAATTTCTGAATATGTTTTAGTTCAAACAGAGGATACATAATTAATTTACTTGACTGGAAAAGTTGTGGATGTGTGAACTCTATCAGTATTAGATTGTCATTGATGAGTTTATAAGCAGGGGCGGATTTAGCATGGGGACAGCTGCCCCACTGAAATTTTAAAAAAATTTGGGATTTAGGAGTAATTTTAAAAATTTAAACTTGCTCTCACTTAAATTTTTTTAAAGTATAGAATATATTAATATAATTTTCAAACCCTTAAAGGTCAATTTTGGGAGCTCCAGCTCCTCATTTTCATCGCTTGCTTCTTCTTTTTTGGCATCTTTTCGTCATTTTCGTAGTCCGTTCAACTTTCAGTTCAGCCCTCTTCTTTCTTTTATTCAAGTTTCTATGTTACGCTCTTTGGTGTATTCATCAACTAATCAGCCAAGGAGAAGTAAATCAGCAAACAAATCGGCCCCTCTTCTTTGTTAGTTTCTTTGGTGAATTCAGTCGTTGTGCAAATCAAATTTGAAGAAATTCTCGAACATTATGTTGAAGTTAAGGCAAGAGGTAATCCATTAACTAAATTTTTTGATAGTACTATGAACACTAATCTAAAATCAGATTTTTTATATTAAAAAATTAGTTTAACTCCTGTAGAATTGATGATTATTTGCTATATTATTTATAGACTTATGTAGGTTTTCTTTATTTCGTCTTGGGTCACCACTTAACCATTTTGAATTTTTGTTGAAGTCTCCTGTTCAGATTGGCTATCGGAGATTCTTGATTAGTACTATTTTTCTTCTCTATGATTAAATTGTTTTAATTTATTTCTTGAAATTCTAGTTTTGATTATATTTTGAATTTATGTATTATATTTTAATTATGTGTAGTCCATAATTGGATGTTCGAGAGTTGGAGCTCTTTTTGTATAGGATCTCGAACACTAAAAGATATTTTTGATGTAAAATTTTTTATTGCCTTTTTTTGTACATCGCTCATATATATGAGTTGCCCCTCTAAATGACATCCTTTTGACGTAACTATACTTACAAATAATTTATCAAGAATACATATTTTGATGAAAACAATGTTATAATTATACTCTCTTTTTTTAATCTGAAAAAAAAAAAAAAAAAAAAAAAAAAAAAAAAAAAAAAAGAGTTACAAAGTTTTTAACTTTCAGTGAGGACAACTTAAATTCTTAAATTTCAAAGTTACAATTATACTTTAAAATTTAAGAATTTAGATCGTCTCCGCCAAAGCAAAAGTCTTGCTCTGCCCTTGTTTTTAAGGTACATGTGTGTTGTGTACACCATCCCTATGTTCTCTAAATGGCATGGATCGGCGCACCCTACTCCAGAGCCATATGATTCCACACTCAAAAGGATGTCACTCACGAACTCTTAAGCATGATGATTAAGATAATAGTAAATTACAGGCTAGTTAGAGGCTATCTTTGCAAATATAAGATCTCTGCAGCAATACATCATGTCGCATAGTTACAACCAATCCTTCTTTGTGATTAGGGGCGGAACTAGAAATTCAAATTAGAGTACACCTTAACTACAAGTTTTAATTAATTTTTTTTAATTAATAAACATAAATATAATAAATATAAATTGTACAAAAATAAAGACCAATAGCATTCTAATTGCTTGATATTCAAAGGTTAAACAACTTAAACTAGAACTACGACCATAGAAAAAAACCATCAATATGTAAATCAATGTCCATCAAAAAAAAATTAACACAGTGAGTGAGACCAATCATAACGCATATCGCCAAAAAAAATATTTATTGAAATTAAAAAAAAAGTAAAAGAAAAAAATCTTAAAATACAAGAGCTTAGAGTTATCAAAAAATTTTGTAAAACATTATCACCGACTCATCTAATCTATACTACTTATAAATATTATTATTTATGAAAAACTTTTGATTTCTTATTTTATCCCTAATTATTATAATAAAAAAAATTATACTCATCTATATACTTTTATCTATTTTTGTTTTTTACTCTTATTTGATTTTCAACTTATTTTGGACTCTTTTATAAAGACTTTTAAATTCTTTTTGACTTATTTATTAGTTGTTCATTTACATACAATCTTATATATCTATATGAATAAGTAAAGTCATTTACATGTTAAACATATAGTTATCAGATTGAATTTCACAGTCAAATATATTATATTATATTTTTGAGTATGCAATAATACAATTTAATATTATAAATGATCTAATCAATCTATTTAATAATTAATAATTCTATAGTATAATTCGTTGTGCAAATGCCTAAAATAAATGACAGATTAAGTACTCAAAGACTTATAAAATAAAATAATAATAATTAAAATACAGATTAATTATTTGACATCTATTTTATTATTTAATTTAATTACACATATAATTTACCTTTTTATAAAAATTATTATTTAAATTTATTTACGTGCAACACAAGTCGTGTATTGTTAGTTTCATATAAAGGTGAGATACAGCACGTCGAAGGGTCACCCAGTACTAATTGTTACTTCTTCTCTCCCAATTTTTCTCTATCTCTATCTCTAGCAATCACTCCCAACTTCATCTAGTTTAATAATCTCATTTTGATTAAAGTTTTTGTATTTAAATTTTTTTTTAAATCCAAATAATTTTTTTCATTTTGTATTAAGACTTTTTTCGTTGAACAGATTACTATTATTAAAAAGAAGTTTGAGGAACATTAGGGTCAGGGTGGTCACAGGGCCACCTTCAACATTTTGTTAAAAGTGATATATATGCTATATACAGGGGTGGCTTAACAATATTAAAAAAAAAATTGGACTTTAAGTCCTAAATTTTTAGAAGGCCCATAATTTTTAGGGAAATTTGGAAGTAATTGCCTTATATGGACTTATTTGGAGATAAGTCCGTCAAAGAAACTTATTTGGTTTTAAGTTCGTTTTTTGTCAATTTTATTATTGTAACTATTTTTTATAGGAATGTTATAAACGACATTTATGAGCACAATAATCAACTATATATATCTCATTCATAATCGCCTTCAAATTCGATTATAATCTTTCAAGTCACAATGTCTCCTTGTCTGAAAAACAAGAAACCTGCATTTACCAAAAACAATTCATATTCAAATTTCAAACTCATTACATTCCATAAAATACAATTTTAATTTACTATTCCAATTTACTTTGAACTCCATTAACAAAATATTAATATTAATATTAATATTAATATTTAAAAAATAACAATAGTAACATACTTAATAAAGATAGTAACATGGTCATTAAAAAAATAGTAACATGCTCACAAAAAAATAGTAACATGATAAAAAAATAATAACAATTAGAGATTTAATTTTGTCAAAGTGGACATTAACCTTGTAACCAAGATTTAAGAGAACTCATACATTAGTACTAAATTAAAATATTATAAATTTCAATTTTGTTGATTTTTTTGTTGTGCATGACAATCGAGCATTCCTTGGTTGTATTACTATGGAAAAAATTCATATTACTGTATGTGAACCAAAAAATAGAGTTCAAAATTTCGATGTCTTGATGTTCATAATTGATGTTGAGTGTCATAATTCAACTGTTAATTGTGTGTTACTAATCATCATTTTGTAAATTTTTAATTTGTGGATCGTATTTTCACTAAAATCATTCAAAAGTTAATGTTATTGTAAAAAACTATTGTTTTATATTTTGTAAAATTATATGTGTTACTGAGTACAAGTTTTGATGTTACTGTGAATATTAAAGTGTATATTATATAATATACGTCTTAAGATTTGCAATTGTATGTTAAAATTTATTATAGTAACATTAGTGTTAGTATAGTAATACGATTGTACTGGTAACACGACCCTAAGTATAATTTCAATCATATAATAACATTCGTGTTACTATATATAAACATTCGTGTTACTAAACTCTGTTAGTATTGTTCAGCCTCCCTATATTATGCATTACTGCTGTTAAGGAAATTTTATGATTTGATTTTGACTTAATAGACCAACAATTTATTCGTACATTAAACTTCTCATATATAATTATCAGAATATATAACTTTCGTTAATTATCATAATATTTAATAAACGGTTTCCATATATAACTTAGTCAATAATTTTCATATATACCTCAATAATCTAACATATGTGACTTTCTA